GGGGATTCGGTTCGTGACTTCTAAAGTTTTGTATTTTTATATATTTTTATTAACACGTATAAAATAGAGGTTATGCTCTAACCTCGGAGGTAATTGAGTTACTTCCCAATTATCTCCAGGATAGAGAGGAGGGTCCACATTGTCTGAAGGGGAGTATTTATCACTAAATTGTTTTCATTGGCTACTGTACTACTTTTGTCACAGTTTTCCACCAGGTCCCCTAGGGGAGTGTTCACCTGGTGGAAGATCTGCATAAATAACGGGCAGGTAGCCCACATTAAATCAGATTCCTGCTTGACCCTCAATACAGAGCCTCGTCTTGTACTTGGGGGGGTTATTCGTGTACTTTTCTTGTTCAGCTGTTTGGAGTGTGGATTCCTTGTTCAGCTGATTGGAGGTTCGGTAGCTGCCTTTGTGTTCGGGAAGGGAATACCCTAAGCGCCTTTAACCCCTTTTTACCCAGAGTGCCGTTACAAGCACCACCTGTTGGTTGCAAGGATCTAGCAACCGCTGTATGCACTACCTGAATAGCAAGGGTTGCTGATTTGCATATTCAGGTAGATTTGCATATTGCTATTTCTGCAAGCAGGAGAGATGTGTTGTGTTAATTATTGTCTTTCCCACCCCTTTAGAAATATGTCATTATGTTATTATGTTATTGGAATTTTCCCACGCTGTGTAATTTGACTCATAACTCTAATCCACCAATCAGAGAGTTATGAGTCAAATTACACAGCGTGGGAAAATTCCAAAGAACCTTCCCACGCTGTGTAAAATGACACAGAGCACTCTGATTGGTGGATTTCAAACCAACCAATCAGAGTGCTGTGACAGGTAAATGTAGAGACTTACCTGTCAGTCTCTTCATTTACCTGTCAGAGCACTCTGATTGGATGGCTTAAACCCACCAATCAGAGTGCTCTGAGCCTAATTGCAGTCTGCGTGGAGCCCTCGCCGGGTGAAGATGGATTATTTTTTTTGCGCTCGTTTTTATTTTATTTTTTAATTGCGTCGGTTATTATGGTTTTTTATTTGGCCTTTTTTGGGGCTGAAAAAAGAAGATTTTGAAGAAAGAAAACATCGAATGGTAATTTTTTTTATTTTTTTTTATTTTTTTTACAGGTACTTAGTTAAAGGTCCCCCCCACATTATTTTTAGGGTGAGGGGGGTAGGTAGGGGGTTAATTATTTTTTTTGGGGGGGAGGGGGTGACTAGGGGTTTGGGGACCCCTAGTCACCTGGGGGGGGACACATTTTTTTTAGGGCCCCACCCGCCGCTCAGGGGTGGGGGCCGGGGGGGAGGACATTAGGTCCCCCCCCTTTTTAGTATTTAGGGCCCCCACCCGCCGCTCAGGGGTGGGGGGGGGGGGGAGGACCTTAGGTCCCCCCTTTTATTTAGGGCCCCACCGCCGCTCAGGGGTGGGGGCAATAATTTTTTTTTTTACAGTGAGCAGCCACTGGCATAGCGAGTAGGGGCAGAATTTACTAATACTAAGTAATCTTTACTTAGTATTAGTAAATGTGGCTGAAAGACCAATTTAGGTCTTTCAGCCTTTTAGTAGATAACTCCCTAATACCGTGGGAATTAGGGAGTTATCTACTAAGCGGCTGCAAGATGCAGCCGCGGATCGGAGTTTGCATGCCACAGTCCAGGTGTTAGTCCCCTTGAAACAACTTGTGGGTTTTAAAATTTGCCTGCCTATTGAAGTCTATGGCGGTTCGCGAACATTTGCCGAAATTCACGTTCGCGACATCACTAGTACCCACCCGGAGAACGAGCTCCGTCACAGGTGGGAATTAATGTGATAGATTGAGTGCAGTAAGGTTGGGGGGAAGAGGCGACAGGGTTGATGTGAATGTGAGGATGGAGTGTAACATAGCGAGGGGAGGTGAGAGTGACAGGATTAGGGGGACTTTTTGTGTGATAGGCTGAGCGTGGCATCATTTAGGCGAGGATCCTGACAGGATTGGAGGGGTTAAGGTGAGTGTGGCAGGGTGAAAGGAGTGTGACTGAGTAACAAAGGATGAGTGTGAAATGATGTTATACGATTAGAGTAGCAGAGCAAGTTGGGGGGGTTCGGTGTGACAGGATTAGGAATTATTGTGAATGTGTTAGTGTGAAGGAGTATGAAAGTTTGTGTGTGGGAGTGACAGTGTGTGGGAGGTTGAAAGTGTGTGGGAGGGTGACAGTGTGTGAGGAGGCTGTGTTTTGGTGACCAGTCGCCCCACACTGAAATACCATTTTTTTTATGCAGTAATTGATTCCCATGTGGTCCAGTGGGCTAACTATCTGGTCTGTGGCTCTGCTGGGCACAGAGTTGCAGAACATGTGTAACAGATACCTCCGCCGATGGATGCTCCTAGCGCTTCTCAAGAACCATCAGCACCGCACCAGACACCATAAGCACTGCAGACTCCATGAACTACCGTAACTTGGTTAGAATCTCGCCGTCTCCTTCCCACCCTGGGACTCCAACCTCTGGATCCAGGAACATGTGCGAAGGACCTCTCCTCCAAGAGAGTATAGCTTGGTCTCTCCTCCAAGAGAGTATAGATGGGTCTCTCCTCCAGGAGAGTATAGATGTATAGCTGAAGAGAGCTCTTACAAGAGCTAGCAGTGATCCAGGGGAGTATACAGAGTATAGCAATCCCTAGTGTGATATAGCAGTACCCTACAATACGAGACGAGGCTGTGCGTTGAGGATAAGAGGGTCTGGATTAATGAGCACAAAGGCATTTCTTTTATACACATTTTCAGGCCAGAGGCACACCCCCTGGACCTGATGGTAAACTGGGACAAATAGGACCTTATGGTAAACTGGGACCAGTAGCAACAATAATTATCACAGTAAGACTCCCACATACAGTCAGCAAGCCCTCCCCTCTGCCTGTGATATAATTAAGCTAGCTAATGTAATAACCTAATTATCCACAGGCAGAAAATATAAAGTCCAGAAATACCCCAAAACTCAAACATATCCCCATAAATTATACTTCCCTGGATAGCTCTGATCTGGGCGAACAACATATCCATAAATCACCCAGCTCAGAGCAGGGGTTCAAAAGTTTTGTGGAAGTCATATTTGACCGACCGCACGCACGCACGCACGCACATTTTCATGCCCAAAACAGTTCCAGAGAATTTGGCTGTGCGGCCGGTCTATTTCCTATACTTCAAATAATAAGTTCCGTTCGAATGCATGAATGGGGCCGTTCGTGCAATTACTCAAAGGTAAAGTGGTGTTCGAATAGTCAAACACACTTCGATTTCCATCGAAGTATTAAAGTCTGGAGAAGGTAAAGTTCAGCGGTGTTTGTGCCGTCGCGTATCCGATTTGAGTTCCATGAACTCGATGACCAAACACCGCTGAATGTGGTCGACTGAATTAAAATGGCCACCACCACGTGTTCGTATGTTGAATGGCGGCCTTTTCGACTAGTTCGGTACTTCGACTGTATCCGAAGTGCCACTTCGAAAGTGCAAATCCTTGCCAATAGTTCTTTAAGGGGCAGAAACAGTACTTTAGAATCCAATCTGCACAAATGGAGTTTTTAAAAGGCAATACACCCTAGGGATCATAGTCACAGGGCAAGAGGCTGGCAAGCAGGCCTCGACAAAACTCAGTGGTGAAGTGCAATTCGTCACTCATCTACCCTTTTGAGGGGAGACTAACCAGGTACCTGATCTTCTGTTGGTCAGTGCCTGAGTTAGTCGAGTAGCCCACCGACAATAAACAGTTACTGCACCTGGTGATTCCTGATGTCCGACTCTGGCCAGTATGTCCCAGGTTGCTGAGTGGTGATTCAGCATCCTTGATCTCCCTGGTGTTCCTAGATGTGGAACTGGGGGTACTTGGTGGGCAGAGGCAAGCAGCGCTCTGCCCAGATGCCAGTGCTTCTGCTGAGGAGACGGGTACATAATCCTGCCCTGTTACAAGGGAACAGGGAGGACAGAGGCTAGCAGTGCTCTGCCCGGTGCCAGCACTTCTGCTGGGGTAGCCTGCATGAAGTCAGGCTCTGGAAAAGGGGAAAGGGAGGTCAGAGGCCAACTGCGCTCTGCCCAGATGCCAGCTCTTCTGCTGGGGAGACTGCGGGGGTTAACATCTCCTCCGCTAACCCCAGTACTAGGGTAGGAGTTAGCTGTGTAGGGGAGGGATTGCTTACCTCCTCCTCCTGGTACTCCTGCTGCTGCTGGGGAGAGAGACCGGTTGTCTCCTCCCCCTGAAGAATGTACTGCTGCTGGGGAAAGAGACCAATTGTCTCCTGTTCCTGAAAGATCAGCTGCTGCTGGGGAGGAAGAATAGCACCTTCTGCTCCCAGTACTATACACTGCCGCTGGGGAGTGAGACCGACTGTCTCCACTCCCAACAACTCAATCTGCCGCTGGGGAGAGAGGCCGGTTGCCTCCTCTCCCTGCATTTTACACTGCCGCTAGGGAGAAAGGCCAGTTGCCTCCTCTCCCTGCATTTTACACTGCCGCTGGGGAGAGAGACCGATTTCCTCCTCTCCCTGGAACTCTAACTGCAGCTTGGGATCTAGGCCGGTTTACCCAGCATCCCTGTAGGGCCGGTGGAGAGACCTCAGTCCCATCTTCACCTGCCTTTGGGTTCCTCCCAGCACCAGTCCATGAGGTCCCCTACCTCTGGTACCTCTGGTTGCTGTTGGGGAGGGAGACCGGTTGTCTCTTCTCCCAATAACTCATTCAGCCGCTGGGGAGGGAGACCGACTATCTCCTCTCCCTGTAAGACATACTGCCGCTGGGGAGGAAGGATGACACCTTCTGCTCCATGGGAGGCACACTGCAGCTGGGGAGGGAGACCGATTGTCTCCACTCCCTGTAGGATACACTGCCACTGGGGAAGGTATATTTCTTCTCCCTGTAACGCACACTGTGGTTGGGGATCTTGGTCGGCTGTCCAGCATCTCGGTCCCATTTCCACCTGGTGGCTGGGGGTCTTCCCGGGACCAATTCATGTGGTCCAGGTACTCCTGCTCCAGATTTCATTCCTTAGTGACCAGATAGAACAGGTCAGCCTCTAGGTCGATAGCTCTAGGGAAATCCAGCATGTCTTCCCAGTCATAATGTAGGTCCCAGAAACGTGACTCGGTAGCACTCCCGAAGTCTGTGTCATCAATATTGTCCCACAAGAGGCCAGGGCCATCGTAATACCCACCCTCAGGGTATTCGTATTCAGCTATCTCGGGGACCCGCTCAACCGCGTACCACCATGACACCTGGTACGCGTCATCGAGCCACAGTTCTTTCCTTACTAGATTCTCTAGTCTAGCCACCCACGCTCCTAGGGGCTGCTCACCCAGAAGAGACATCCACCATGCCACTTGGGCCTGTAGTCGCTGCTTCCTGTTGAGGCGACAATCACCTCGCCAATACTGTACTTCCTCCAAGGTTTCGCCCAACAGCCCTGCTCTGTACCCCAACATGTTCTCCTCTGATCCTGCCTCATACTTCCCGGGAAGACCCCCAGCCACCAGGTGGAGATGGGACCGAGATCGCTCTACCGGCCCTACAGGGATGCTAGGAGATGCTGCAATCTATCGTGAAACTTCTCTTCCACTTTAAGTGCTGTGCAAGGACTAGCCGGATCCATATCGTGGTAGGTAGGGATGCTGCGCAGTGGCTAGCGCTGCCCTCAATAGAATTCCCTATGAACTGGTGTCTCCAGGGTGCTGCTCCTCACATTAGGACACCATCCCACCGCTGCCACCAATGTAACGGGCACCTCTGCCGACGGATGCTTCTAGCGCTTCTCAAGGACCATCAGCACCGCACCAGACACCATAAGCACCGCAGACTACATGAGCCGCCAAAGCTTGGTTGGGATCTCGCCATCTCCTTCTCACCCTGGGACTCCAACCTCTGGATCCAGGAAAGTGTGGGAAGGACCTCTCCTCCAAGAGAGTATAGCTGGGTCTCTCCTCCAAGAGAGTATAGATGGATCTCTCCTCCAGGAGAGTATAGCTGGATCTCTCCTCCAGGAGAGTAAAGCTGTAGAGCTGAAGAGAGCTCTTACAAGAGCTAGCATTGATCCAGGGGAGTATACAGAGTATAGCAATCCCCAGTGTGATATAGCAGACAAGGCTGCGAGTTGAGGGTAAGAGGGTCTGGGTTAATGAGCACAAAGGCATTTCTTTTATACACATTTTCAGGCCAGAGGCACACCCCCTAATAATATCATATGAAAGGGATTGTATTGATCTTATTATCTTTTTTAGTTGAATTTAATGTCTCTTCTCGTGATAGATGTAGTACCCTTTCTCTCTGTCCCTGAATTATTTGTGATGGATAATCCCTTTCCATAAACTTACTGGACATAAAGTCCAGTCCTGTTTTTACTTTGTCTTCTTGTGAAACTATACGTTTGACACGTAATAGTTGGCTATATAGCAACGCATCTTTTAGGTGTGTTGTATGATAACTATCATAGGGCAGCAAGTTGTTCTTAGTAGAGATATAGGGAAAGGGACAGCGCTGACACCTGCTAGAATTAATATATTGGGAGGCAGCTAACCCAAAAAGTGGGGATCCCTCTTCCCCACTCGTGGAGACAGTAAATAATACCCCTATATGACGTCATTTGGCGCCAAATTCGTATTTTAGGTAATTACCCACGTTCCCTATATAAAACCTTACCGAAGTCAGTTATTTCTTACCTCCACTTGAATACGCCTTTTACGGTGAAACGCGTTGTGTTTTTTATCTGGATATTTTATATTTGTATGAATAAAGGTATTTTGGTTACTTGTTCCATTTTACTCTTTTTTTTTTTTTTTTATTCTACATTTGATTTTTATTACTATTTTATTTTTTGTCCTGTACTGCCTGGCACCTGTTTTTATTTACAGTGAACATCACTTCCAAGCAATATCCTCGGTGGGGATTATTCCACCTATGCCCTATCCATAGAGCAGTTTGCCTGCTCTGGAAAAAGTGAGTAAAATATTCGCTATCCATATTCCTGGTATTTTAAACTGTGAGCACTATTTGTTTCTTTTTATATTTTATGGTCCTCACCCAACTGAGAAGCTATATTCACTGTATTCTTTAAAGTGGGGATTGTACCACTGCACGCTATCTATACTGGAGCTAGTTCTAGCACCATAAATCGTGAGTAGGACTATATCTATTATATATTTTATACTCTCCCTGCCAGTACATACTGTACAATCATTTATTTTCTTTTTCCATATACGGATCCACTGCTGATCATCTCTGACATCCCCATAGAAGAATCCTTCCCATACCTCTGGATTCCACCCCTAGCTAATGCACATTTGCATCTACATTAGAATACTAGTTAAGGAATGTTCCTATCTCTGGACTCTACAATCAGGACATTTCCATGTATATATATATATAACCATTCATCTTTTAATTATTTTAGGTATTTATGCTATGTGGCGCTGCCCCTTCTGTTGTTTTTACCCGTTGGTTTCGTGTATAGATCACTATAGAGTTCCTTGCCAATCCTCTGCACTTGTACATCTTAGAATGGAACAGTAAATTTATCCAAATGCATAGTGAATTTAATACTTGGGTCTAGTCCATTAAGTAATTCAAGAATTCCTGTAATTGGGCTCTCGTACTAATATATATCCCAAGTTCTTCAATTCCCTTTTTTTGTTATTTTTTTAGCTACATTTTACTGAAAAAGTGTATATCTAATGTTAAGACCATTACAGAGTGTGCAAAAAGTTTTAGTGTACTATATTTAAATTTGTATCTGAAACTGGGAGTTACCACGGTATCCCGTTTAATGTTATTAATTTTTTGTTTTTTTAATAAACTTATGAATTAATTAAAATGCCACCAAACCGGGTGGCTTTAAATATGAAAGACAGGAGAGTCACCAAGCACCCAATGAGAAAGCCGCCTGAAGCAGAGAAATGTATTTGGAAGCTGACGACTCTCATCATTCCAATCCTGCTCCCACAGTGAAAAAGAGACGGCTTCAAACCATTGGTGTTGGTCACTCCAAAACTTTTGGGAAACTGAAAGTACAAAGGAAGGTCTACACTGTATCTTGCAAATAAATATTTTTCTTAAGTGGAAGCAGAATATTTTTACATTTTTATATGTACTAGATTATCCTTGTTTTGTATGTTATTTCGGATATGCTACTAATTTGGATTTTTATGTTATAACCAAAAATTATTCTACTTTTAATTTGTTGTTTTTTTTTTTTAAAGTATTTTTTTATTTTTATTTTTATTGATTATCTTTTTTACATTTACATTCTTTATGTGCATGGATATACAAGAGAATATTTGAAAGGATCACTAGCTGGCATTTTATGAACTTGGATATAACCCTAGGAAACTTCAAATACTGTTTTCACATTCTGTGATAAAATGTTACTGTTGAGAGTATCATAGTGTTGAGTGTATCTTAAACGTATTGCTACATTTTGACACTGTGTCAATGTGCCTACGGGGTGGTGTAATAACAGAAGGAATAAACTGAATGTGTATTTGTTTTAGATTTAATATCAATAGATTATGTTTCCCTATTTTTTCACCATAATCCCGTTTTAAATGTATTTGTCCCATTTGTCCACCTATCTTGTTTATTGTTATCACATTTATTTTAATTTCTTACTGTGCCAAGGAAGGGGGAGTGATGCAAAAGCCATTTTATTACCTATAACGTGTTAACCTTTATATATTGATACTATAGCATTAGGAAACAGATGTATATTCCTAATGCAATAGGGTCCCTTCAACTTCTAATTGTCCATGTTGTATTTTGAGTACTTTGGCTTGAGCTTAATTAATTAAATCCATGTTATATTTAATTCACTATACTTCAATAATTTTGTTCACTGTGTATCAACTGTATTATTAACAGAAACCTGTACATATATATTTACACAAAATTTACAAGCGTTGATTTGATCTAATTATTTGTGGATAATACATTAATTAATAACTTGTTATATTGTCTAATATATATGATATATATATCTGACATTTCTCTTGATGGCTGAAATATACATTTTATATTTTACTTTCAATGTTTTAGCATAGGTTTTCACATATCTTTTGTTATTTTAAGCTTAATAGGTTTAAACGTTTGATAACTATATGTACTTTTGATATGTTTTAGCCATTTTTAGGCAACTTTTGAAAAATGCCATTTTTCATGTATGATGTTTTATGCAGATATTATAATAAAGTAAAGTTCTGTAAGGATATTATTTTAAAAAGAAAGTTGTAATAAAGACTACACTGTTAGATTAGATGTTTGCATTCAAACATATGAAATATATACAATATCTAAAAGCTTTGTTCACATACTGAAAGAAAATCATATGCTTGTTTTTTTATATATTTTATTAATATGATTAATTTATTGTCTATAATGTGCCAACATTTTCTACAGCACAATGCAATGGTTTCACAAGACAAAGAAGTATACGAAACAAATATAAATTAAAAAAAATATTACAAATAAAATAAATAAATAATATATAATAAATAAAAATAATATAACATCAAACACATAATGAGAGCCCAAACAAAGAAACTATCCTAAAATCTATTTATTGTCATTTATAAATACTATATATATTGCACTTTAGAAAATTCACATATTAGTATTAGATGCAAGTTTAAAGGTGAAACGTTACTTCTCTGGAATTTACACCAATGAATAAAACATTGAAAATTGCCTTTAAAGTGTGTTAACCTTTTTCTTCATTGAAATGTTAAATTTCTTTTTAATATTATATAAAATATTTAGCAAATTATATGATAATCCAAGTGCAAAGGACAGAACTTGTAACAATGATTGCCAAAGGACTAAGATGGAGGCACCCGATTCAGGATAAAGAGAAGTTTAATTTAATTTAACTTTCTATACCTCACAAGTACATATATGTTAAATATAAATTTCAATGAAAATAATTTAAAAATCTTGGGCAGTGTCAGTTCCACCTATTTTTTTTTTTTGTTCAAGAGAGATAAGCAGCTGTTAATTTGAACTGGGTGGAGACTTTAACTGACCATTAAGCAAACACATTTGTTTAGGTCAGCTGACAATTCCTGCATATAAACCAAAGCAAAATGAGGAAATGGTAAAGAAAGACTGTGTTACATTGAGCAGACCATTGCTAATACATTAACCATGTCGCTTTCTGGTTGTGAGAAGGAAGCTGTTGATAACATTTGGAAACAAGCATCTGGACATGCACAATCTCATGGTGCTGAGGCATTTGAAAGGTAAAATAGCTTTATTAAATTAAACTAGTCACACAAAAAGGAATTACTATGTACTACAATTATATCTTATGTAAAGAAAAACTATGAACAGATAAAATATATTTAGTTTTTTTTAAAATAAATAATTGCCTTCACATAAGATTATAGTATAAATAGCTTTTTCTTTGAAGATGGTGAAGGTTTAGTGGACCTGTTTACATAGTATCATTATTAGGAATTTCTAACATGATATCTAAAGCAGATATCTAAAATAGGAATATTCGAGTAAAAATATCTGTTTTTAGAAGAGAACTCTTCAACACTTTTATATTGCTGACTTGAATATTTTGTGCTAAACTTTGTATTTCAATATATTAATATTCAGTGTTTTAGAGAAAAACCTCCAGTAGTGATTGGAATTGTTTAATAATTGTAGTATTTATGATTTAAGGACATTTTAAATAATAAGCAAGTTGAATACATTTAAAGCCTACACAGACGATCTATGAAGCATGCTTTAATGTTTTATAGCAAAACTTGCTACCTGATATGTTGCATTTCAAGCCAATTTTTAATGTACTTTGTATCTCATATATACAAATTTAATGAATGACTAAGTAATTTATTGATTTGTTGGATTCCACTGACATTCTAGAGCGACATTCTGAGTTTTAAAGAATCATCATTTAGGCAGAATCTTTTGGTGCTAGATAACTAAATTTATTATTATTTTTTTTTAATTATTATTTTTTTTTTTTTACAGAGTCTTCCAAAGCTATCCCCAGACCAAAACATATTTCAGCCATTATGACCTGAAACATGGTTCCAATGATCTTAAAACCCAAGGAGCCAATGTGTTCAATGCTATTGGTCAGGCAATCAATCACCTGGATAACTTGGAAGCTACACTGTCTAAGCTAAGTGACCTTCATGCTTTTAAACTGAGGGTGGACCCAGGAAATTTTGAGGTGTGTATTATTTCAGCTTATTTATATATTTATCTAATCCCAGCAGATACATTAATATATAGAATTGTTTAAGAAGTTATTTGCCCAACCCTCGTCCTGAAGACATTGAACATTATTATGAAATCATGGAATTAAATCTATATGTGTTCCATTGAGTTAGGTATTAACATTTAGAGGACAGGTCTTCTAACGAGTAACTTTACATTTTCTTGTTACATACTTTGTTATTACTACTATTAACAACATTAAATGGACACTATAAAGCACTAACACAGCTTTGATGTTTTGGTGTATAGCTCATGCCCCTGCAGTCTAACTGCTTAATTCTTTGCCATTTAGGAGTTAAACCAACTTGTTCATGCAGCACTAGTCACATTTTCAAATACATTTCATGTAAAGAAAGACTATACAGTCTCCAAATACACTTCATGTAAAGAGAGGCCTAATGCTAAAACTACCTTTTATTGCATAGTCTGTTTAATTTAGAATTTAAAAAAAAAATGTAATAGCCTGTTGGAGCCTGTAGGATTAAAGTTCAATTAATAGAAGGTGATTAAAAACAAAAACAAAAAACTGCTAAAGTAAACAAACGTTGCTATCACATCTGATTGAAAATTAAACAGTATGTTCATGTAGTCTGTGTAAATCACATCCAGGAGAGGTTAGGGCTGCATAAACAGAAGCAAACTGATTTAACACCTAAATGGCAGAGAGTTGAGCAGTGAGATTGCAACAGCACGGTCATCACTATAACTGCTTCATTAAGCTAACGTTTTTTGGGAATTTAGATTGTCCCCTTTTTAGATGTGAATAACATAAAATAAGTTTATTAGAATAATAATTCCTTCATGTTTCAACTTTTTTTGCCTCAGTTTATGGTGGATGTGCAAAGATCATTTTATGCATATTTTGTATATTTACACTGTTCATGTTTGCTTGCACTTTTGACAGATATATGGAGTAAAATAAATATTACCAATACTTATAATGAAATTTATACTTGTTACTATAAAGGAAATGTTATATTCTTGATGTTAAATTTGTATTTAATAATTTACTTTTTTCTTGCAGTTGCTCAATGAAAGCATCCTTGCTGTCCTTGCAATTCATTACCCAAAACTATTTACAACAGCAGCTCACTCTGGATTCGACAAGCTCCTGTGTTCTATTTCATGCGTATTGACTTCCAAGTACAGATAAAATATTTGGAAACATGCACAATGATCCACTAAACTTTATGTGGAAATTATTCTTTAAAATCCTGGCTAAATTCAAATAATAAATATATTTCTAATAATGTATTTTAGAATGTCCTGTTTTCAGTTGTTGGTAAAAGTCATATATTGTAGATATATAGAGTAAAATTAGATATTCATTAGATAATTTGTTATATACAAAAACTAATATTTTCATTATGGCTGCACCCATCTGAACATGCATACATTGTAAGGATGCAAGATCCAGCTCACTCTCTCATTCATTAACAGCAACTTCAAAGCTAACAGAAGATAATGATATTTTTAAAAACACCTAACGTAGGAACAAATAATAGTGATTTATTTACAGTATATGATCATACATTGCATAATTTTGCCACAAGGCCAATGTACTCCATTTCTGGCGTGTCCTAAACTAGCAACATAATCCCTGCTCTTATGAGATTAACCCACTTTTACTGCACATAAGTGGGTTAAGCTTATAAGAGCAGGCAAAAATGGGGCACATTAGTATTGTGGTAGACTTATGGAATGTATGATCATATACGATAAATAAACCCCCATTATTTTTGCTGTGAGCTTTGAAGTTGCTGTTTACTGAATATATACGTGTGTGTATGCACGCATAATAATTGAAAGCACTCAGAGGACTTCCAAAAATGAGTCTTTACTATTACATGTCCAACAAAATCAATGTTTTGACCCTATATGGTCATTATCAAGACCAATTATCACATGCATATACACATGTATATATGTATGTGAGGTTCATTTTTCAATAACCATACAGAAGAGAAAATAATTATTACCCCAAAAAGTGTGTGTGTGTGTGTGTGTGTGGAGGGGGGAGGGGGGGAGGAGGGTGATGTAACAATGAATAACTATCATTCAACAATATATTTTAAGTGTATATTAAAGCAGAACGAGAACCGTAACATATAACAGTGGTATATGTGTCTTAAAAGGTTGGTATAGTTATCAAAAAATAAAACCAACATAATGACATTTTGTCCTACTCTAGACACCTAATTCCTGCTCTTTTGAGATTAATCCAGTTACTTGGAAAATACTTCCTCCTGTATGTCATGGTTAAATAGGGCCCTGGAATGAGGCACATGTGTCTAGAGTAGGACCTGCCAAGAATGGGGAACATTGATATTGTGGCAGGCTTATGCAATGTATGGTCATATACTGTGATTAAATCCTCATTATTTTTTGACTAGGTGAGGTGTTTTTAAATAAAACCATTACATTCTGTTAGATTTGAAATTGCTGTTTAGTGAATGAGCGAGTGCGCTGGATTTTGTATGTTGTTTGTATATACTCTGATATTAGGCATATTTGTCTATATTTATATTGATTCAGATCTGATGAGTGAAAAACCCACAAAAGCTTCTCTTTAAGTATTAAGTTAGTCCAAAAAGTGTATCATTACATACTACAATATATAATGATACACTTTTTTTTTTTTTTGGACTAACATAATACTTAAAAGAGAAGCTTTTGTGGGTTTTCCACTCTTCATCAGATCTGAATCAATATGAGAGTTTAACACTTAAAACAACGGTTTTATTAGAGAAAAGATAGTGGGGTGTCATAAATAGCAGGAGATGTGCCTGAGATTGAAAGGTGTAGATTTTTGAGAATATCCAGAACAAGTAAATAAACAGAGGAAACTCTCTCTCTCTCTATCTATCTATCTATCTCAGAGAAAGGCATGCAAAAACACAGCTGCTTTTTATGTGTATGCAGGGACAGACTGACAGTGGCCTGAGAGAGAGAGACAGTGTATTTGATTGTATGTAAAGTGAATGTGTATTTGTATGTAGTGTCAGGATATGTGCATTCAGAGTATATCTGAATAAATGTTTTTGGTTTTGTAAATAGGGTTGTATTTATTTTGTCTGTTTGTGTAGCATGTATAAGAGGAGAACATGTGGTAGGGGGTAAGGGCAGAATGGTAGGGGCTGCAAATGGAGCAGGGGAGAGCAGGAGCATGGGCTGCAGATGGTGTAGGGGCTGCCTTGGGATTATAGGAGTTGTAGTTAGTGTAAAGGTTTAGGGGCTTTGGGGGGTATAAGGGCTTTGCTGGGGCAGCAGAGGGGGAGATTATAAAATTTAAATCTCTTAAATTAAAAAAAAAAAAAAAAAAATCCCCACTCCTCAAGTCTTACCTCCCTGGTGGTCCACAAATCCTCTTCTGGAGGTCTCTCACTGCCCCAGACATGCTTCCTGTAACTCTGCTCAGGGCAGCTCTGCACAGCTCACTCTGCACTCTGAATGATGATGCTACATAGTTACATAGCTGAAAAGAGACTTGCGTCCATCAAGTTCAGCCTTCCTCACATTTGTTTTTTGCTGTTGATCCAAAAGAAGGCAGAAAAACCCAGTCTGAAGCACTTCCAATTTTGCAACAAACTAGGAAAAAAAATTCCTCAGAATGGCAGTCAGATTAATCCTTGGATCAAGCAGCTACTATCCTACATTGAAAAATTATTTCCTTGAATATTATGTTTTTGCTAGTATGCATCATCCTGCAGAACAAGCCGCACCGAGCTGCCACTGAGACAGGCACACTGAGGGGCAGCCTAGGGGGGTCTTTGGGAAGACCCCTTAGCTGTCCTTCAGTGTGCCCTGCATGGAGGAGAAGATTTGTAGCAGCAGGGGCCGACGGAAGGCTGCGCCGACCCTTTACTGAGTGCAGGCTGGCTGTGAAGATTTTTTTTTTACTCCCCTGCTCAGCCATTACTGCACTACAGCAGGGGTGGGCCCCCTAGTGCCTCGGGCCCTCGGTCCATGACTGATTTGCTTGAGTGCTCAGTCCGCCCCTAAGTGTATTTATAACTTGCTCAAATATAGGTATTTGTGCATTTCTACAAACATGGTGTACATGATACAGTGTACAGTGTGTGACAAAGTTTGCTACTGTCTCCATCTCAACATGTTTTAAGTGTGTGAGTGTTTGAGTGCAGGTGTATGTCTGTGTGTGAAACAGGGTTGTGAGATGCATGGTTTTTTTTTTTTTGCTGGGCAAATACTGCATATACATATTGAAGGGCCATATAGTATAGAGAATTAAAAGTTTGCATTGAGGAAATAAAATAAATACTCAATGAGAAATTCTGCGGATGATAATGTTTACACATAGGGCTTGCACAGACATTATGCTTCTTGGGATCAAAGATGCAGTGCATTGACCCCACCCACAGCCTAATTCCCACAAATTCATATCCACTAGCCACATCTCTCCTCATGTCCTTTCACCTATGGCATTAACCAGTACTTTTCTCCTCAGATTTCTCCTCAGATATGTTCCTCCTTTGTTCATCTTGCTGCAGCCATGTCCATCTATTTTACATATCCCTTCTGCCACATTCATCCCTTATACAATTGTTCCTCAGTCACATCCATCTCTTGGACATCACCTCTCAGCCATATCGCTTAACTTCCCTCAGTTAAGTTTCTTTCTGTGTACATCTTCTCCCAGGCAATATACCTACCTTCTATATCTCTCCACGGAGATATGATTCTTCTCACCTCATATATCCTAGCAAATCTCAGCCAAATCTCCCTCTGTATATATCTCACCATAGCCAACTCAGTCTGGTATATTTCCTTAAAGCCACATGCTCCCAATATATCATCTCAAACACATTTACAGATACACTCTCACATACAGTTACTTCCAAGCATATACACACAGCCACTTACACACATCCAGACTCACATATACTTATGTTATTATTATTATCTATATATTTCATTCATAAAGCACAACCATGTACCACAGTCCTGTTAAATTGTAGAAAAAGACAGTACAATTGTTAGGTATGATTTTATAATTGGCAGCTATTTTATAATCAGCGGCCATGTATTAGTCAGCCGCCCTTTCATAAGCATTAGCCATTTTAAATCTGATTCCATTTTTCTAGTGTATTGCTAAAAGCTGTTTTAAAATTTTTTTTAAAGACAGAATAAAATTTTAAGCATGATTTATTTGTTAATTCAAGTGTTTTGTTGCATCTACAAACAGATGTTCTCTAAAAGAATTATATCTCCAGCAAGATACTTTTAGGAAGTAATAGAAATATATTCTGCAAGCTGATCAAATATGTTATGAAACAATGTCTACAATTAAATTAAAAAATAAAATGTACAACTATATTTTAAGAAAGTACGGTAGTTATCTGCCAAATTATCAAGAATTGTGTACCTTTGGCCATGACATGTCTACCTTGTGACCATGAACTATTTTTTTACTTCATATAAAAAAAAAACATTTTTTTATATGAACTATGATTAAAACCAATACATTTGGAGATATAATTTGAGATTGTGTGTTGTGTATGCCATTTTTCCCCGAGCTGCTTGTGTGTGTTTTTTTTGCTGATTAGATTTGCAAGGATTGTCTGCAGCTGTGAATAATCCCTGGAGAATAATTTTTGCTTGTGATAAAGTGAATGGTGTGGTTTGTGTAGGTGTTTATGTTCCTGCTAATTTCTTCAGAGAGGCATATGACATTTAACCCTGGGGGGGATATGTATTGTATGCAATATAAATGTTTTTATTAATGTTTGGATATGGGCTTGTGCTCCACTCCTCAGTTTACAGGCAACTCATAAATCAGGTCAATACTATTATTATTATTGCCATTTATATAGCGCCAACAGATTCCGTAGCGCTTTACAATATTATGAGAGGGGGGGATTTAACTATAAATAGGACAATAACAAAAAACTTACAGGAACGATAGGTTGGAGAGGACCTTGCTCAAACGAGCTTACATTCTATAATAGGTGGGGTGTAAAATACAATAGGACAGGAATTTTCAATCAAATAAGGTGGGCTGCCTTTTAGGAGAGAACAAAAGACAGGTATGTGAGGTAGAGGTTAGTCTGGGAGGCCATAAGCTTTCCTAAAAAGATGGGTTTTAAGGCACTTCTTAAAAGATGCAAGACTAGGGGAGAGTCTGATGGTGGTAGGCAGGCTATTCCATAGGAAGGGAGCTGCCCGCGAGAAGTCCTGCAAGCGTGAGTTGGCGGTGCGGACAACGGACAGGAGGTGGTCATGGGCAGAGCGGAGATACCGAGCAGGGACATACCTATGGATCTGTGAGGAGATATAAGAGGGGCTAGAATTGTTCAGTGCTTTATAGGTGTGAATTAGTACCTTGAATTGACTCCTATAGCATACAGGAAGCCAATATAAGGCATGACAGAGGGGTGAGGTGGGAGAGAACCGACTAGAGAGGAAAATCAGTCTGGCAGCAGCATTCATTATAGACTGTAGCGGTGCAGTATGGCTTTTGGGAAGACCAATCAGGAGAGGGTTACAATAATCCATGCAGGAAATCACTAAAGCATGGACAAGCTCCTTGGTAGCATCTTGCATAAGAAAGGGGCGGATGTGGGATTTGTTTTTAAGATGGAATTTACAGGATTTGGCAACATACTTGATGTGAGGCTCAAGTTGAGGCCAGAATCATGTATGAAGCCAAGACAGCACGCTTGCAAGGATGGACTGATGTGGGTACCACAAACCTGAAGGGAGAGTGAAAGAGGAGGATCAGTATTAGGAGGAGGAAAGACAAGGAGCTCAGTTTTAGAGAGATTGAGTTTCAGAAAGCGGGAGGACATCCAGTCATGGTGAGATGGAAGAAAGGCAAGCAGTGACACTTTGCCAGACGGCAGGAGAGAGGTCCGTGGAGAAGAGATATATCTGGGTGTCATCTGCGTACAGGTGGTAGTGGAATCCAAAGGAGGTAATAAGTTTGCCAAGAGAGGCAGTATAAAGAGAAAATAGAAGAGGACCAAGTACAGAGCCTTGGGGGACTCCAATTGAGACAGGACTAGGGGAGGAGGTGTCATTAGAAAAGGAGACACTGAATGAGCGTTGGGAGAGATAAGAGGAAAACCACGAGAGGACAGAGTCACTGAGACCGAGTGATCAACGGTGTCAAAGGCAGCAGAGAGGTCAAGAAGAATTAGTATGGAGTAGTGGCCTTTGGATTTAGCTGCGATTAGATCATTAGTAACTTTGATAAGCGCAGTCTCAGTAGACTGGAGAGGGCGGAAGCCAGATTGAAGAGGGTCAAGGAGAGAGTTGCAATTGAGGAAATGAAACACACGGGTAAAGACAAGTCTTTCCAGAAGCTTTTAGGAAAAAGGGAGCAGGGATAAAGGACGATAGTTAGAGGGGGAGGAACGGTCAAGCAATGTTTTTTTCAGGATAGGTACTACAGTGGCATGTTTAAGGTCAGCAGGGACAATGCCAGAAGAGAGAGAGCAGCTGAAGATTTGTGTTAAGGAAGGCACGAGACAAGTGGAGAGAGATCTAATAAGGTGAGATAGGACAGGATCGAGCGGGCAAGTGGTGGAGCGAGAGTAAAATAGAAAAGCAGCCACCTCTTGGTCAGTACCTGGGGAGAATGTCTGAAGGGTAGGTATGATCTATGTGTGGTTGAGAAAGGGAACGGCCAGGAGGGGAGAATTCTTTCCTTAACTGTTCAATCTTGTCGGTAAAGTAACATGCACAGCTATCGGCAGTAAGGTTAGTTTGAGGGGTGGACTTAGCAAGGCGAAGAAGAGAATTAAAGGTGTCAAAGAGACTCCTGGAATTGCGGGAGCATGAACTAATGAGAGAGGAAAAGTAGGTCTGTTTGGCAAGGGGTGCGCTGTATGAACACAATATGAATCTATAATGGAGAAAGTCTGACTGGGTGCGAGACTTCCTCTAGGAGCGTTCAGCACAACGGATGTCAGGGAGCCGCGGGCGGCGAGGAGGGGAGGCTGCACGCCACTTGCAGCACTCACCATCAGTCCATCGCCGCCCGCGGTCTCCTCTCTGCTTACCTGTCGGCGAGCGGCGTCTCCTCTGTGCCGCTCGCCGCCAGCATCCTCCACGCCCCCCAGCGGCAGCATGTATAACGCTGCACGCTGGGAGGTCCAGGAGTTAAGTAAACGCCGGGGTCACGTGAGTGACCCGGCGTTAAAGAAACAGTACCACAATCACAGTGGGGGGTATAGATATCCCCCACGTGTGATTGTTAATTCTGATTGGAAGTTATCCAATCAGAATTAAACCTAGGGTATTTATACTTACCTTTCCTGTCCCTCAGTGCCCTGTTGTGGTCTTGTGATACCTGTAGCGTAGTGTTCTCGTCTTGCTCTCTGGTTACTGATTATTTGGCTCGTTATTCCGATTATCCTGTCTTCTCCACTCCTTTGACCTCAGCTTGTTTCTCGTTCTCCCGTTTTCTGGCTCCCTTTACCTGGCTTGTCTCCTGACTATTCTTAGCGTGCTTAGCCCGGCCACTCTAAGGTCCGGTACGGCACCGTTTCTG